GTACTTCAGAGTGTAAATAAAGAGACTGAAGAGATGGCTCAGCGGTTCAGAGCACTTGTTGCTCCTGCAGAGGGCCTGACTTCAGTTCCCAGCACCCACATTGTAACTGTCCATTGCTCCAGTTCCAGGAGATCTAATGCCTTTTTCTGGCCTCTTGAGCATTGTATACACACAGATGCACATACATGTATGCAGGCAAAACACCCATGCACATGAAATAAAAATAAGTCTTTTTAAAAATTCAGAGCATAAATAAAAAATGATAGTCTAAACCCAGCACATGGGGTGCTCTTTGAGGGCCAGTTTCCTCTTTTATGTTCATGCCTCTGCTGCTGTAGTCCAATAGGGATGGACTGAGCTGATGGAATCATCTAGAATGTTGCTGCTCTTGGAGGAAAAGCCTTGTTTTAGGACTTTGGTGGATAATTGCTTTGTTGTTTCCTCCATTCCGTATTCATGCTGGGCTGGCAAAATGAGAGCTCACATTAGCATTCCCATCTTTAGAAAGCGGGAGTAATCGGTATGCTGTAATGAGGTTCAAGTGTTATATCAGTTTCTGAATTAAGAGTGTCCCCTCACCATGTTAGCTGTCTGGTGTTGTGCAACAGATGTGCACCATAGGGTGAAATGGTAAGCAATTCATAGAGGTGGATAAATCAGTAGTGAAAAGTCAGTGCAAAGTATGAGGGGAAAAGGTGTTGGGACTGACAGAGCTGGAAACGTGGGGTGAAACCCTTGTCTTTCTGGTCAGCCTGGTGTCCAGAATGCACAAATAGTGTTGGTACTGCAAGTCTTTGAATTGGCAGTTCAGAAAGCAAGCAGCTTTCCCTTCCTTCTCATTCAAAACAGCCCTAATGAGCCACCACATCTTATCAGCTGGATGTATAGAATGTACCAAGCAGGGGAGAAAAAATGTTGGCCCCAAAACAGTTTGGTCCCAGCCCAATTATGGTCCCAGAATCATAGCCCATGAGGAGAAAAGAACACATCAAAAAGCAATTTTAAAAATTATTTTTATTTTATGTGTATGAGTGTATTGCCTGCATGTATGTAAGTGCACTTGTGTTGTTCAATGCCCAAGGACGTCAGAAGAGGGCCATTAAATTCCCCTGGAACTGGAGTTACGAACAGTTGTTAGCTGCCATGTGGGTGCTGGGAATTGAACATGGGACCTCTGCAAGAGTAGTCAGTGTTCTTAACTGCTGAGCCATCTCTCCAGCCCTAAGAAATTTGTTTTTTGAGACAAGGTGTCATACTGTGTAGTTCAGAGTGGCCTGGAATTTACTGTGTAGGCTCCTGCCTCCGCCTCCCCAGTTCTGGGATTATAGTCATGTGCTGCCACACAAAAGAGCACATTGAACTATGCCTTAGTGTGTTGCCAGAGGGGCACTTAGGGTGATAATAAGCACCATTTGGATGCTGTTTTGATAATTTTTCAGGGAGGCAGAGCACATGCTCACCACATCCATTGCCTGCCAGCTCTCTACTGGACATTGTCCTGCAGGTCTAAGCCAGGTGGCCTTGGTTGTAGGATCATGCAGCAGCATTGGTGGTCTGCCTGGCTCTGATTAGGACCTTTCTCCCATTTCTTCCTTCCTTGGGGAGGGGTCCTGTTGCACAGCCACAGGGCAATTGAAAGAGTACAGAGCATCCTGGATTTCTGGTTTGAGCTCTTTGTTGCTTAAGTCTAGACTCTGGATTCATTTTGCAGAAGGAGGCAGTAAAACTTGCACAGAGTTGAGCTCTTTTTTGGGCACATCTTCTTAATGAAACATTGCTACTAATCTTATAGATACTTAGCCCCAAGGGAAAAACCCTTTTTTGCTGGTGCTGTGTCACTAGTGAACATAAGTTTTGGAGGTTATCTTGTGCTCCATCATAGTTTGGCAATATTAAAAAAAAAACGTTTATCAAGTTTGGTAAGTCTGATTTGGACAGGTAATCCTTCCTTCTGGGTGGGCCTCGAAGGCGATATTAATAGACTTTTAAAACAGAATAGCTAGAATTACTGATACCATTATCTGCCTAAGGTTGCTATAGCAACTAGTGGTTTGATTGCACTGTGCGCTTGGTGGTACTATGGGCTAGTGTAAAAGGATCCTAGTAATTTAGCAGAAACTCTCCTGGAGCAATTTAATTAAACTCCAGTAGAATGAATGCCAAATTCTTTGAAAAACTCTAAGATATGGTTCTAGTTAGTCCTAAATTAAGAGATGTTATCTTGAATCTGCAGATTTTCACAAAATTAAAAAATAATTTTAGGATGAGGATTTTTATACCTTTGAAAGTTATTTTTAAAGTTAAGCATAATTTGAATGAAAATCTATCATTTTGTTATGATTAGTAGCAGGTTTAAAAATTATTTGAGAATTTGTCTTCGAAGTTTCTGACCGAGTATGCATTGTTGAGCGTACTTCTCCCGTGCCTGCTGTCCTCCTTTCTCTCCCCTCCCCTTATCCCATTAGTCCCCTTTCCCTCCAGCGAGTTTTACTTCTACTTTCACGCCATACATACATACATACATAATCATACATACATACATCATACATACATGATTTTATGTATCTGAATAAAACATAGGGACCACAGATGAGAGAAAGCAGACAATATTTATCTTTCTGAGACTGGCTTAATTCACTTAATATGATTATTTCCAGTTAGATCCGTTTTCCCGTGGCAGTTATTTGAAAGATAAGAAAAAAAAAAACTGCAAGCGAGTATGCCATACATACATACATACATAATCATACATACATACATCATACATACATGATTTTATGTATCTGAATAAAACATAGGGACCACAGATGAGAGAAAGCAGACAATATTTATCTTTCTGAGACTGGCTTAATTCACTTAATATGATTATTTCCAGTTAGATCCGTTTTCCCGTGGCAGTTATTTGAAAGATAAGAAAAAAAAAACTGCAAGCGAGTATAAGGAATAAACATAGGCATGGAAATGTGCCCAGATCATCCAAGCAGCCTTTAGGATAGGGATGAAGGGGAAAGGCGGAACTGAGCTATCAGATGTGTTGGGTCTTTTGATACTGAGAACAGATTAGAGATCATATCCTCTTTTCCACCTACAATGGAACAAACTGTGTGCTGTTCTTCTGAATAAATGCTGTATATACAGCATACCTTAGAAATACAATATAATGATCATTTAATAGTAGTGGCCTGACATGTCTTTGAAGGAGTATGTACATCGAGCCACATAAGAGAGTGCCATCTTCTTGATGTCTGGTGCAGATGTGCTGTGGAGTCTTTGGTTATCTTATTCTTGACTTCTTTTTTTTTCAATTTTTTTTGGCATGTTGCAATTATTTCTCTACTTCAGTTTTATCACATAGTTAGGAGCTTCCAAAGTGAACCGTTGCCCCCCACCCCGAACTTACATGGCAAACACCATGGCAGGTGCTTCACACCAGTTTTCTGTATCTATGCAGTGGGATGAAAACTTTGCCTTAACATTTTGTTTTGATTAGTTTGGGATACTTAAAAAAGCATACTCTACAAGGTAAAATTGGCCCATTTAGACGTTCATGGCTGGTGTTCGTTATGCAAATGTTACTTTGCTGCCATCTGGAGGCCATATGTGAGAAGTTCATTTAAAAACGCGCTGATGCCCAAACCACAAGCTTTAGCAAGTTGGGTGTCAGCCACAGCCCTGTCCCCATTCTCTGTGGAGACGAGTTGAGTTGACATAACCACACAAAACTGAAGTTACTACATCTTCATTTTTCTCATGGAAGCAAATATGCATTAGGAATTCAAAGCAGTACAGTGTTGTGGAGTGTCAATGTAGCATTATTTGATAAAAAATAAATTCTGCATTAAAAAATGACAAGTGGGATTGTGGCTGTGCCATTCTTGCCTCATTACTTATTACTCAGTCTTTGTAATCCTGTCATTTTTATAACCTGATCTGTTGTGGAGAGCCATATGAATGAAGTCTTATGCAGAAATGTAGAAGGAAGCTCCTGGGAGTGAGAGCTTGAGCAGATGCACCTGGAGGACTGAGACAGCGGGCAACTCAGATTAACAGGAGTGGCAAATCGGGGTAGGGAATGCCAAGCTTATGATCTTTCTGGGAAAGTGCCTGGTTTTCCCCTGGGACCAGCATCAAGTAGGACTTTGGGGGCTGGGAAGCTGAGATTCCAAAAAAGACCCTGTGGCCCCTCAGGGTTTTATGTTCATATAATTTCAGGAAAAGATTCTCATCACCTGTCCCTGCTAGGGAAGTTAGGACTTACTTTCCCCAGGGCCGAACCTGTACCCTGTGGTTATTTTGACTATCTTGGCTCTTGTTTCCTGGCAACTGAGTATTTGGGAAGAGAACCAATCAGTCATACCACAGAGAAAAATGCTCCTCACGTGGACCTTCCTGTTCATGGGAGAACATCCTGAGCAGTTTCCAGGAAGAGTTTAACTGAGAGGGGACTCCTGGGACATGTGGGGCTGGCACCACTCAGCTGACCTAACTGGCTGAGGTTGGAGCTGAGGGCTATATAGGGTGTTCCACTTTGAGCACTGCGAGAGGAGCAGCTGAACCTCTTAGAGAATGAATTATTCTCTTTTGAATTCTCTCATCGACATCTGTGGAATTTGAGGGAAGAGACAAGTGGGATTTCTACAGGTGGGTATCAGTCACATCCTTAGCATCTGTGCTATTTTTGAAGAGGCTTCAGGAGTGAGTGTCCTTCCTTTGGAGCGAAGGACATTGATTTGTTTAATGGTCCTTCTTTTCCCCTCAGGATTTCCTGTGAGAGCTCCTGGCCTTGTTTACATCTTAGGACACACAAATAATACCAGAGTGTGGGCGGTCAGGTGGTCAAGTACTTTATCCTCTGCAGAGTTGACTGTTAAGAAGCCTAATCTAAAAACCTAGCTGGCCGTGGGCACTTCGTTCAGACATATCCTTTTCGTTCTTTGCTTGATTTTTGTTTTAACCAAGGCTCTAATCATCAGTCTTGATGAGAATTATTCCTTTTGCAGAGGTTAAGAATTTGGAGTCTGACAGATCACCCCTAGAGGAGGAGGTTGGAAAGGTAAGGAATGACTCCTGGCTTTATTGTCATCTTTGTGCATCTCTCCAGAGTTAAAATAGGCATGACGATTGAGCTAGTGTCCACAAGTAGACAGGGATATGCCTTTAATCCAGTCTCTTATCAGAATCTCAGTTGCTACATTTTATGACCAAACCTAGCTATCTTTGTGAGTTATTGCTTTTGTATACATAAGAGAATTGAATACATCCTCTAAAATATATTACCTTGAAGCCTGTTATCTACAGATGTTTGCCAATCATGTATTTTACATGTGAACACCTTTCAGGTACATTTTAGCTGGAGACAGATCCTTTATTTTTGGTTCTTTTGCTAATTATAAACAAAGACTAGTCTTCTGTTTACATGGTGTGATGCATGTGATGTGGTTTTATTGATGTTTTCCAAGAATGTTTATTGTAGTTCATAAAAATAAATAAACATTAATGTAGCAAAGATGTCCTTTAATGAAATACCTCATCTGTGTCTCTTTCAGTGCGTCAAAAGCCAGGTGGATCCACTGAATGAACAAGAAGACCCTGAAAGCCTAGATTTGGGTATGTTTCAAAATATTGTTTTCCATACACTCATTAAGGGTATCATAGACCATATGTGTGGTAGATAAGAAGAAAATATATTTTAGTATGAAACATTCTTTCCTGGGAACCTTGGTTACTTCTTCTAACCCATCCAAGTGCCTTTTCTTTACTCTATTAGCCATAATACTGTGAATTTCATTTATAATCTAAAACACACAGAAACTAAAGCTTTTCTTGAGCAATTTTACTGTGCTAAATGTGGGTTTGGTAGTTGTCATAGTTACCTTATTATTCAAATGTAGTGGGCACTAGCAGTTTCATTTCAGGAAAGCAACTGAGCTGATGGAGAGTCCGCATTGGAATCAAGTCTTGGAATGTCATTCTGCCTGTCCCACAATGACGTCCAGTGTGTCCCAGTGGAGCTGAGCCTATGTGGTCTAACTCACTGGGCTCAGGAGAACACTAGATGTTGTTGTGATGTGGGCCTTATATAGGTGCCTATAAGAGAAACTAAGGACCCCCTTGGGGTGGATTCCAATGGACCTGGACATTCTCTTCTACTCTCAACTGTAGTTTTCTACTTCCTGGGGGTTCCCCCTCAGGTTGCCCCTCCAGCTTCTTCTGTTCCTTCAAAACCCACACTTATCCTTGGAGTCATTTAGAGGCACACAGAGTGGAATATAGCTGTGGGGGTGGGAGGACCTGGGATGGGCTGCCAGAAGATGCCTAGTAGGGACCCTGGGATAGTCTGTGAAGACCTTTGGAATGCTCTATGGGATTTTCAGGAGCCTTTCTTCAAGTGCAGTGCAGTGGCGGCAGCCTGCACACCTGGAGTGCATATGTGAGCAAAGCTGTCTTGGGGTGGCCCAGGTGAGGAGGTTGGGGTGGAAGCCCAGTGCTCAGGCTGATGAGAGAGCAGAATGAGTTGAGCAGCAAAGGTGGTTGTTTCATGGAGGCATCATGAGCCAACTCATGCAGGGCTTCCAGAGGCTCTGGTGTTGTGGTTGGTATGCTTGGTAGACACATGACAGAGCAGTTAAAACAGTTGGGAAATCCCATAGCCTAGAGCAGGCAAGGAGGAAGCACCCACAGTGTCAGTTGAGTGTGCTTCCCCAGCGTTGGCCTCAAGCCAGAGGTGGTTTGCTGGATGTCCCTGCCTGAAGTGCTCCTGAAATTGGAGCAGAAACTTAGATGTGCACTGAACAGTGTGCACACATCTGTTATTACTGCTATATAAGGTAAGAGCAATAATTTATTCCCAGAAAGGGGGATGAAGATGGAGAAAGGAAAGCAAACATCACCGGGTAGATGACTGTTGTGGGCTTCCGAAGCCAGGAGCATAGCTGTTATTCATGAATACAGGATGTCTTGGCTACAGATTGCATCACGCTCCCAGGAATGTCAGCTTTGAAGAATGTTTACGCAGACAAATTACTGAAGGAGGAGGGGTTGGCTGTTAAAAGTATTAAACAGGGGGATTATTTTTAATTTTAGGCTCTAAAAATTCACTCCAGTCTCCAACTGGTATGCTTGCTTGGTGAGAAGACCTTTGCTGTGGAAGCTGTGGAAACTGTCTTAGCCCCACCTAAGCCGAGTGCTTGGCCTGTAATGTCACTCAGTCTGAAGAGGACCATTAGGAAAGCCTTGGGAGAGAGAGGACCAAGCACAACTTTAATCCAGTGCTTTCTGAAACAGGCCGTGGATGAGCTTTTCTGGGCTATCGTTTGCTTTGTTGTTCACTTAAACTTTTTGGATTAGGAAAAAAACCTAATCCTGACTTTATGTAAAGAAATGATAATAGATTTTAAACCAAAGTCTTGACTTTATATAAAGAAACGATAAAAGATTTTAAAAGAACCTCTGAGACCGAGAAGAGGGCAGCAAGCAATGAGCAAAAGCCGGACGGTAAGCCAGAGGCAGGAATGGTAAACGGCTCCCCGAGACGTCACTTCAAAATGTGTTATTTAATGTGTTCTAGTATTCTGTCCAGTCTCTTAGTAACTGCTGATAAAATGTGTGGGACAGAGGTGCTAAGTATTTGTTGATTTGTGTTATTCGAAATTGTGTGATATAAATTCAGTGCTGTTCTGATAGCACTTTCTGTGTGATGGACGTGTCTGGGACTATGCTGTCCAGAATAGTAGCCAACAGTCATTTAGTCATTTGAACACTGGATGCATAACCAGTATGTCTGAGGAGGTGCAGGTTTAATTTAATTCATTCTATTGTATTAAACAGGTCGGGCCAGAGGATGTTCCCTCAGAGCATCAAGAATCATACTAGCTATTAGTTTGTACACTGAAAATGACTGTAATTGCAGGAATTATATCTTGTGTAGGAAATAGCTGATGAGTTCATCTGGGTCAGTGCCCCAGAACCACTACAGTGAGTAGTTGGCAGGGATGTTGAATAGATGACATTGATATTAGTCCAGGAGTGATGGCCTTGCTCTCTATGGATGCTGTAGCAGGCATGTCCAATCATAGCATCTATTACACAATTGGTTACAAAAAGTAATCACAAGAGGCTGGAGAGATGGCTCAGCAGTTTAGAGCACTGGCTGTTCTTGCAGAGGACCCTGGTTCGATTCCCAGCACCCACATGACAGCTAACACCAGTCCATTACTCTAGTTCAAGGGGAATCTGATGATGCCCTTTTCTGGCCTCCATGGGCATTGCATGCATCTGTGCACTTAGTACATGCAGGCAAAACACACATACACATACAATAAAAATACCCCCCCCACACACAAGCCATCACAAAACAAAACAAAACAAAAATCATAGAAAAGCCTCATGTTTTAAGTAAGTTTACTGTTTTGTGTTAGATTGCTTCATAGCTGTCCCCAGCTACTTGTAGCCCCTGGACTGCTGGGAATTTACTCAAAGGGGAGAATCATCAGTTGAAGGACTGGGGTCTGATTTGACATCACAAGAAGAAAGTGGGATTCCTTCGAACTCTAGACAGCTGGCAGCAGGGGTGGGGTTGGGGGTAGGGAGGTGGTGGGTAGGACAAGCCATTTGCAGGCCATGGAAGAAAAGGAGGTAGATGAGATGGCATGGGTCCATGCTAAAAGTGAGAAGAAAGAAAAGATCCATTTGGATCAAGTCCACCGGACTAAATGAGATTAAGGAACAGGATCAGCCCCTTAAGCAAAGCTGGGGTCAGGAGCGGGCAGCCATATGCTATGCCAAGGAGGAGGGGAGGGAGTGTCTAGTGGAGGAAATGTGCAGCCCGTGCAACCTGCAGTGGGAGGGTGAGCTGTATGGAATCCCAACCACAAAGATATATAAGCCACTCTGAATCATCAAGCAGCGGACTGCTTGATCAGTTGCCATCTGGAAAACTCTTGTTAGAAAGTTCACTCCAGGCTAGAGAGATGGCTTAGTGGTTAAGAGCACTGACTATGCTTGAAGAAGTCTTGGGTTTGAATCCCAGCACCCATATGGTGGCTAACAACTGTAACTCCAGTTTCAGGGGATCTGACATCCTCTTCTGTTCTCCGAGGGCAGTGCATGACATGGGTATACTTACATACATGCAGGCATAACACTCATACGCATGAAAAACTAATTAATTAAATTTTTTAAAAGTTCACTCTGATAAAAGGGAAACTATGTGACTTTGGTTGGAAATTAAGATTTTCAATTAAAAGTTAAATTCCTTCCTGTGAAGCCAGAGTGTAGTATCATAGGTGAATTACAGAAGCATCTGGAAGGTGATGGCCCTTTTCTGTCAGCAAAGAATATTCCAGAGCATGAGCAGGTTGTGTGGGCCACAGATCTGATGTCATGACACTCACAGTGACAATTTCCTGCAGTAATTTATCACCAGTATTCTGCGCAGAATTAAAGATTATATGAAACAAATTTGGCTAAAGTTGCATGTCATGTGACTGTTTGCAGGGAAAATATATGAAGGATTAGTGAAGCTGAGATAACAAGCCAAGAACTTAACATGTTGTCACTTTCCCCATGGGGAAAGTGACAGGAGATGGAGAGCAACATGGGTGAGGTGCAGTGGGGATGGAGTTGGCTGGCACGTCATCTTGGAAGTTTTGAGATGGCCAGGCTCTGGCAAGAAGCAGGACTATATCTGCTGTTGCTGATCTGGTTGGCAGAGAATGGGCTTGGCAAAGTGCAGGGAAGATTCTGATCTGCAGATTGCTAAATAGGACTTGGGGAAAAATTAGTCTTTCTCAAAGTAATCAATACTCATACATAGAAAAATTGGAAAGTTTAGAAAGATTAGGGGAAAAGATTAGACAAAACATCCTATGAACTCGCCACCTGTCCTAGTGCTTTCTGCTGCTGTGATAAACACCATGATCAAAAGCAACTTAGGGAGGAAAGACTTGATTTCATCTTATACTTCTAGGTCACAATTCATTCTTAGGGAATTCAGGGAGGAGCTCAAGGTAGGAACCTGGATGCAGGAACTGAAGCAGAGACCATAGACAAATGCAGTTTGCTGGCTTGCTTCCTCTGGCTTGTGTTCAGCTAGCTTTCTTATGCAATCCAGGACCACCTGCCTAGGGGTGGTATGTCTCCCAGTGGGCTAGACCCTCCCATATCAATCAGTGGTGAAGACAGTTCCCCACAGGCCAATCTGATCTGGGAAATCCCTCAATTGAGACTCCCTTTTCCTAAGTGACTCTTGGTTCTGTCAAGTTGACAATAAAAACTAACCAGGACACCACCCAGAGGTGGCTTCTATTGAATTTGGACATATCTCCTACCTGGGTTTTTTTCATATAGTTATGATCATGCAAGCAATGGAATTTGCACCCTATATTATTCATTTAATGTATATGCCCTAAGTAACTTAGATTTTAGGAGATAGCATTAAAAGTTGCTATATTATTTTCCACAAAGAACATGGATACTGTTATAAGAAGAAAAGTAAAATGGATGTGCATTGTTGATGTTAGAGGGGCAGGACCTGCACATGCAGGGGTTCAAATTGCAGTTATTTTTACAAAAATATTATGTCATTTTTTCCTTTCATAATATTTTTT